GTACGCTTGGTTGTTTTGTAACTTTATGTATTGTTTACTGTGCCGGTTTCATTGTTTTCATGTGTAACTTGTTGTCACAGGGCATTCCTGAAAAGCAGTGTTTTTCAATTAAGCACTAAAGTCTCTACCATAGTTTAAAAAACAGAAATAGATAAATAAATCAACATTTATCTCACGTGTACCACATTTGGTGCTTTTAGACAAAGGTGCACGTTTTTTTCAGCTATGCCACTGGACGGTGAACGATACGTTATGTTTGTTTGTTTGAGCCTTTATTTCAACTCGATCTGTAACTGTGTTACGAGGGGTGTTCAAAAAGTTCTCGGCCTCACCTAGAAAATAAAAGTCAAACTCCTATTCTTCGATATAGCTGTATACTATGTCGTCTTACATCACTGCACGCAAAAATTCAAATTTTTATATTCATTAATTAGCACGTGACGCGCCGTGAAAATGGGGTGGGTGAGGTCAAAATCACAAAATGGCCGCAACAGAAGCGTGTGCTGTGATCAAGTGTATCGATAAAAAAGGATGTCTCCTAAGGACATCCATGAAGACATGGTCAAGACACTTGGTGATGACTCCCCATCTTATTCAACTATAACGAACTGGGTTACTAGCTATAAGCGCGGCAAGGAGAGCACAAAAGATGAACATATGTCAGGATGCTACAAATCAGCACCACGGACAATCCAGTTGAGGCCATCCCCCACATGGTAGTTAATGACAGATGTGAGACTGTCCAACATGTAGCAGAGTCTTTGGCCTGTGCTGTGGCTCAGTTCACAATGTTTTGTCGGACATCCCGGGGATGAACAAACTGTCTGCATGGTGGGTGCCTCGAATGTTTTCTGAACATCAGAAGTTAAACAGGCTGCACATTTCAAGGAACGAATTCTGTCTAATCCATGCAATTTTCTCAAAACATTTGTAACCCAAGATGAGCTGGGTTCACCACTTTCACCCCGAATCAGAAGAGCAGAGCAAACAATGGATAAAGAATTTTTCCCGACCCCCCAAGAAGTTTTAGCGAGTTTTGTCCGTTGACAGGGGTTTTGCCTCTGTTTTCTGGGACAGTAAGGAAGTAATCATGATTGACTACATGCGAATGGGTCAAAGCATCAATGTGGAATACTATTCGACAGAATTGCGACAGTTGAGGACAACGATCAAAGAGAAAAGAAGAGGAAAGCACCGAGCTGGCGTGATGACAATGCACCTGTCCACACAGCACAGGGGTCAGCGACAGCAGCAAACGAATTTGGGTTTGCAGTCTAACCCCACCCTTCCAATTCACCCGAACTAGCATTCTTGGACTTCTACCTGTTTCCTAAACTCAAGTTTCACCTACGTGGTCAACGTTTTGATGGTAATGATGACGTCATCAGTGCGATTGAGCCCTATCTGGGGGTCCCAGATGCAACCTTCTTCCACAAGGGGAAAACAAAGCTGGAGCATCACTGAACTAAGTGCGTTGCAGTTAGAGAGGACTATATTAAAAAATAGCGTAAGAAAAATTTTACTGCCCTGACGTTTTCTAGGTGAGGCCGAGAACTTTTTGAACACCCCTCGTACATGCTCTAATCGGCCGCTATTTCGGCCGCTTTTCATAGAGGTCGAGCGTGGAGGAGTGTCAAGGGGTCATAACATAAATACTGCTTGCTCACAAACGAAAACACAAAGTAATAATTGTTGTACACAAGGTAACTCACACAAAGTAAATAAATAAAACAAATGGCAATAACTAATAAATAACTCATAAGTCGCTGTGTCCAAAGTCGTTCGGTAACTCACACAAAGTAAATAAATAAAACAAATGGCAATAACTAATAAATAACTCATAAGTCGCTGTGTCCAAAGTTGTTCAGTCAAAGTCAGTTACGATGCTAGCAGTCTTTTAAAGGTTCCAAGCGAAGGTGCATGTAAAGTACCGTGCCGTGCTACGTTCGCGGACTTCGCGCAAGTGCAGTACGTTCTGCGGACGTAGTGTTGGGTTAGTGAGTTCAGTGCCCCACGTGCAGGTCTGTGTAAACAATCGTCAACAGAAAGCTGTAAGGCAGACAACTCGGACGTTCCACGCTACATAAAGTAGTTTGGCGGCAAGACAGCCCACTATTTCTAGTTCTGATAACCCCCACACTGGAATACAGCCACCACCATGATTCTCATCATACGATACGGGACCAGGCTGTTCGGAAAGTCCGACTATTTCATGGTGGACGGGCAGGAGGCCTTCGTTCAAACCAAGTTCTACCACTGCTCGTACATGCCCTGCGCGCCGGAAGAAAGGTAGGCTTCTTGAGTCTGGGGTAGCCACAACCAGGCCTTCCTGCGGGGGTTATATGGATGGTAGAATTCGGCGAGAAACTACATTATTAAATTACATTTTGTGTGTGTAAAGTTATACAATTTTGATATATAAAATCGTGATTTTAAAGCGTGTTGTCTGACGATCGGACTGGAAGACCTCTGAGAAACAGACCATCGCACCTTATAATGCTTGTACAAGCATAGTATAATATACGAGTATACACCTGTGCTGTGGACTTGCCTTATTCCAACGGCCTGGCCGTCAACACAAGTATGTATATGGAACAGGAACAGGCAGGGGGTATCACAATATCCCCAGCTGAACCCCCTAATGGTAGCAGGGCCCTACGCCGATAACGTGGCTTGAACACCAGCATGTGCATTGTTGTACGTTTCAACAAGTGTGAACAGGTCCTTTTTTACTAATAATTAATAGGCCCGCAGAATAGGAGAACTGGCGGTCATGTGGACAAGGAAGTAGTGTGTGGTAGCAGGTCCTTCGAGCTTACTTCTGTATCTGTATAGCCAGTATAACAGCCCTTCGGTGTAACACATGTGCACCAGCTTCGAACACTACTTGAGGCCTGCCACTGTGGGTGTGCTTGTTAGGTTGTTTTAATAGTTCTGCTACCATGGCGATTGTGTACATCTACGGTACCCGGCTATTCGGGTCCTGCGATTACTTCACTGTGGAGGGGCAGGAGATGTACGTGCGAACATTATTCGACCACTGCAACTCCATGCCGTATGGGCCCAAAGAGAGGTAAGTCTTACTTCTGCCGCTTGATTCACTACACGTAACGTTACACGTGAAAGCTGTTTGTACAGTAAGCCAACCCCCCAACGTTGCCTGTTTGCTAAATAATACCTAGCTGTCGCTGTATCTGTATCTGTATCTATATAGCCGGTATAACCTCGCTTCTGGGTCAACATGTCAAAAATTTCAGTTTGCTGTACTCGTCAGTGGTACGCCGAAAAAAGTTTTAAAAATTATTACTTCTGAACTGATTATTCAGTGCAAGTCAGTCTATTGATTTGGTGGTAATACTGCAGAGTTACTTGCAGTAGACCATTGCTATTATAATAATTCCTATATTTACGATCATTGTTCCTCTTCCTCTTACACAGTTACCTGTTCCTGCCAGACGGCTGCGCTATCGAGCTTCCGGAGGTGGTGGGCAGGTCGGTGGGGTGGGCGTGGCTTCGGTACCTGGCCTGGGATAGCTTCCTCATCCTCATGGTTGTGGCTGTTATCCAACTAGTAAGGGTAAGATATAGTAGTCTTTATCTAATCTCTTTCAGGTTCCAGTACTATATAACAAAAAATCCCTCCACTTAACCCAGTCAAAGAAAGAAAGAAATGATAGCATTACAAATATGTCATTTACATGCTTCCACATATTCCAGTTATTTTATTTGAAATATACCTTAAGTTAGTTTGCCATTTTGAATGACAGTAGCAATATTCCATGTATTCGAAAGGTGTTTCGTCATATGTAAATGCACACAATATTGTTGAACGATACTCATTGATGTTCCCAATTCCTGGCCAGGTTGCATTGGAGAGAGCCATATAATCATGCAGTTTTATTTCTTATTAGACTGTGTTTCTTCATAGTTGTGGCGTGCAATATTTAAAACAAACTTTCCCTTCCAGGGACATTCTGACGAAGTGTGGCCGTGGGCGCTGCTTGGGTTGTCCGTCGTGTGTCTGTTCGCCGCCATTTTGCTCACTGTCTACAAGCCGAAAGCCAGCGAGAAGAGCAAGCAGCAGTACCTCAACATGGTCGGCCTGGTGGTGGTGCAGCGGTTCCTACAAGAGCTGGCGGCTGCCGAGGCCGCGGATCCCGGCGGCCCCGATCAGGAAGCTGTCCAACTCGTCGAAATGCAAGATCATGGTCACTGAGAGTCAGTTGATATTATGCCAAGAAGGCAGACACCACCTTCACTCTTTACATGCATCTATGCAGCTGCCAAATTGCTCGACATTGCTAGGGTTAAAGTGTATGGACAATATTCTTGTGTATTATTCTTGTGTGTTCAGCTATACTATGCTGGTTTCATTGTTTTCATGTGTAACTTGTTGTCACAGGGCATTCCTGAAAAGCAGTGTTTTTAAATAGCACTGAGGTCTCTACCCTGTTCAAATAAAACAGAAATAGATAAATAAATCAATATTTATCTCACGTGTACCACATTTGGTGCTTTTAGACAAAAGTGCACAATTTTTCAGCCATGACACTGGACAATGAACGATACGGTCTGTAAAGTACCGTGCCGTGTTACGTTCCGGACTTCGCGCAAGTGCAGTACGTTCTGCTGCCGACGTAGTGTTGGGTTAGTGACTTCTATGCCCCACGTGCAGGTATGTGTAAACAATCGTCAACAGAAAGCTGTAAGGCAGACAACTCGGACGTTCCACGCTACATAAAGTAGTTTGGCGGCAAGACAGCCCACTATTTCTAGTTCTGATAACCCCCACACTGGAATACAGCCACCACCATGATCCTCATCATCCGATACGGGACCAGGCTGTTCGGAAAGTCTGACTATTTCATGGTGGACGGGCAGGAGGCCTTCGTTCAAACCAAATTCTACCACTGCTCGTACATGCCCTGTGCGCCGGAAGAAAGGTAGGCTCCTTGAGCCTGGGGTAGCCACAACCAGACCTTCTTACGAGGTTACTAGTATACGGATAGCAGAATTCGGCGAGAAAGGGAAGGATAATTGGGCAGGAGAGTCAGTCCCCGGAATGGTAATGTTCCAAAATGAACTCTACGGTGGCTGAACTCCCCTGGCCAAGATTATTCTGGCTATTTGGCTAAAATTTAATGTATTTAACCCGCATTTTTGTTAGACTGATGGAGACTATTAAACCCGAGGGAGCCTGCATATGCATATCCACGGGTCTTTCCACGATATTGGTTTGTGTTAAAAAGATATTACTTTGAAGAAAAATAATCTGATTAAACTCAGTTTGGCCAACACACCTTATACCACAGTCACAAGACAAACAGGTTAAAGTCCAGTCTGGAAGCAGGTCGTTGACCTGAGCAGGTGACTTATGCCAATAACGTGTATATTATCTTGAAAGTATGTCTGTGTTCATAGAACGCATTATATAACGCGTATATGTTTTAAAATAGTGCCAAATCTGTAGAAAACTCACTGTTCACAAACTACAATAAACATGTGTCTTCTGAGGACTACAAAAGCCCCATCAAAAGAGAACTTTCATGTAAGCAGAACTTACCTTTCATGTAAGCAGAACTAAAAAAAAAAAAAAAAAAAAAAAAAAA